CCTAATAAGTAAACAAATAATTCATAGCAGGAATTTTATCACAATCTTAGGCTTTTACTCTAAACAATCCATACCATTCTAATTGAAGAGACTGCTAATTTAGCATAGCTAAGTATGCTGAATGATATGAAACTAAAATAAATAATTTAAAATCAAGAGCAATAGAATTTTCTGAATGAAAATGAATGACAGAACACTAAAAATTCAGGTGGACTTGTTGACTGGGTCAACAAAATCCATGTGCATGTTCATGTAAATAAGCACTGTGTTTTAATTACTTTTAATTATTACAAATTAGAACCACCTGAGGAGAAAATATTATATATAATAACATTTGCTTGAAACAGCAATAAACATAATAAGCTAATAGAAGTTGATACGCATTATTGAAATGTAATATGGTAACCTCCTTCTGTTCTTTCACCAAATCATACGAATATTTATGAACTGCACAAATCCCTTTTAATTTTTGTGTTAAAATAGGGCCTCTTGTTTCTGGCTTTTCTTTTTGACTGCACAGCATTCAATGTGAGGACTTAATCCCAAAGCACAGCTTTTCTGATGTAAAATCTGGATGCTTGTGTAGATACAACAGCTGTCCCCTCGCTATGTGGCATTTTCTATTACTTTACCATAGAAATGAGTTCTGGCCAGGTTTTGGGTAATATTGGACAAACGTAGTTTGAAGTGATAAAGGCTTATGCATATGCATTCATTTAACTCTCATAGTATTGGCTTCAGCAGGAAAATAAATTCACACTGTGGCCACCCTCCTAGATGATTGTAGCAGTTGAATTGTAGGAGGTTCTGCTGCATCTAAAAGCCCAATTAACTGTTGCCTAAGAGCTGTAAATTCAGCAAACCTTTTTAAAAAAAGAAGAACAAAGCTGTGGCTCTTCACCAACAAACAAGGATTGTGAAGGGCTGATTTCTAACATAAAATTGTTTGTGTTTTTGCATTTTAGGTATCTAAACTTCTCTGAGAAGGGAGAAATCCTGGTAGAGAAACTTCTGGACTCTTGCTTAAGGATGGATGCTATAGATTAATATTTGAAATGTTTCCCATAGTATAAGTTGTGGATATTTCTAAGAACAATCTGACTTCTGGAGAGAAAAGCTCAATTATGCTTTTAGTAGCATTCTAATTATAATGGGTCCTTATCTGCTGTTGGCATCTAAATTTTACCTTGGCATTCAGAGAGTTGCTTCTCAGATCTGTGTGAAATTCTCCAGACTGTATGTCTACTGTCCATGTAAAGGATCAGATATCCTGCAAAGCTGGCTGTTGTCTAATTCTTTTAACTTATTAAGCTAATGCTTTCAGTTTATGTTGATATTCATACATTTCTTTTACTCTTTCAAAAGTTTTAAAGGAAAATTGCAAATTTTATCTATTTCATAGACATTTCTCTTCAGACTGCCTATTATTCTGACTAAAAATAATTAAATAGGAATCTAGTATGCATGGAAAGACACAATTGGAAAATAAAGATCTTTTATAAAACCAAATATTAAATTAAAAATTTGCTTTATTGAAAATTCAGCCTCTTACTTCTCAAAAAGCAGAGATACAATGTAGCACTAGAAAAAAGAAGCCAGGTTTTGTTTGGTTACACTAATCATTTTCTTTCTGCACAAGATCTTCATGGCAATCGCTTTGTGACTGTAACCAGTAACCAGATGCTTTAACTGACCCGTGGCTCAGATGTGTAAAAATTGTACCCACAATAAATCTTTTTCTCTTATCATTTATTTTATTGTATTATTATAAAACATAATACATTGTGTTAGTTGGCTACAGTGATGTTTATACAATATTGACTAGAAATTATTAGCATTCTAATGTTTAAATAACTTAAACCTTTACAGATAAAAATAAGTTTATATCAGTAATTAACTATGATTTCTAAAACATCCATGTTGATTAACATAAAATTATTTAAATGTCTCACTCAAAGCTAAATAAACAACTACACAATGCATCAGACTATTTGATAACGAAGTTTCTGTCTAAGCCTTTACACTTCGTACCCAATACATCTATAAGGCCTCTAGGGTAGTTAACCATTAAGAACATTTTTAGATTGAAAAAGAGGCAGATCTTAATAATAGACAACCTTTTATGATTGATAAATATATGCACTGAGAATCTAAAAGTGAGGATTTTAAAATAAATTATGAGCATTTACCGTACATGTATGAAGGGGTATGGATGGGAGCATATATAAATATGTATGCCTGTATATGTATCAAAACCTGAACAGGCAGTCCTCGGTTTGCAAGTTCATTTAGTGACTGTTTGAAATTACAGTGGTGCTGAAAAAATGATTTATAACTGTTATTCAAATTTACAACCATTGCAGCATGGTCACGTGATCAAAATTTAGATGCTTGGCAATTGGTTCATATTTATAGATGGCTTCAATGTCCTAGAGTCATGTGATTGCCTTTTGTGACCTTCTGACAAAGAAAGTCAATGGGGAAGGCAGAGTAATTTATCACTTATCAACAATAAGAGCCTTGGTGGCACAGCAGACTAAAGTGCTGTTAAATAGCACCAGCTGCCTGCAATTACTGCAAGTTCAAATCTCACCAGGCTCAAGGTTGACTCAGCCTTCCATCCTTTCGAGGTAGGTAAAATGAGGACCCGGATTGTGGGGGCAATAAGCTGACTTTATATAAAAAAGAACACCGCTTAGGGGGGGGCTGAAAGCCCTACTAAGCAGGTATATACAAAAGTATGAATGCTATTGCTTAACGCATTGTAAGTTGCCCTGAGTCTCCGGAGAAGGGCGGCATATAAATCAAACCAATAAATAAATAAAATAAATAAACTGTGTTACTAACTTAACAACCATAGACATTCACTTAACAACTATGGCAAGAAAGGTAGTAAAATGTGGCAAAATTTACTGAACAAATGTTTCACTTAGCAACATTAGGCTCAATTGTAGTAAGTCAAAGACTACCTATGTGCAAATGCTTATATTTAATCTATTTATATATTAAAGGCAATTTGGAGAATCATTTTCCTTTCCTGTTGTACCACTCTACCCAATTTCAAATGGTTCAAAACTTTTTGGATTTTCAAAGAGCCTGAATATCTGTTGACTATAGTATACAATGCCATTCTAGGTGTCGATAGCAAATCAGTTGCTGATATCCCAGGGTGGACATCATAATCTGTCTCCATTTCATGCAGAAGAATCTCCCACCTTTCAGCTTCTCTTCTGATAATTTATAACATCTTCTAAATATGTTATCTTTAAATATAATTGAACTGATTTGAAGGCAATAGGATCTTCAGAACCCCATTCGATGTATGGCATGCAGTATACTGCAAAGTGTTTCCAGTTGTGTGCATTTGGTATTCTGCTACTTGGATGGTCAATTTTACCTCACATAACTCTAAGTAATGTTTTGGGGAAACTGGTTAGTAGAACCTTCTCATTGAAGGCTATGATTACTGTCTAATGGAAATTAGCTCCTCCTTTTTATAGGCCAAACCAATGCCACTTTGTACGTGTATAGGTGTTGTTTTGCTGAAAATGGGATTTTCTGTGTTAGGTTATGGCACTGCATGTCTTCATCTATTTTGTGCTCCTGCGTTCTATTTTGATCACTGATAATGGTACAATAATCCAGGTAGATTTGATTTTGGCGTTGGGTCGACAAAGACAGGCATGGATACAAGAGAAGGATGACTGAAAAAAATCCTTCCAATTATTGGCTGTTATTTACTGTCTTTTAAGCAGCAGGCTGTATATTTATGCCAATTTCTCTGCTTCAGGGAGCATTCCTGATCGCCCTGAACAAAGTGAATAAGAGTAGTTTGCTTTGCAAATGAATGCAAATGGGAGTGCCTTTGGGGAGCCCCTTTAAACAAGGGGCAAGGCCCTCTGACGATGAGTGAAGCTGCCATTTGGACATGGTGAAAAGAGCACGCTGGAGCCATTGATTGGGGGAGACAGTAAAAAGTCAGGGAGGGCCCCGTTTCTGCTTGCAGTGCAGCAGGCGGACGTCAGTGCAGTTCAAGCACAGTGGGAGAATGACAGGCAGGATTAGTGTCAGGCAGAAGCTTTGCTGTAGCTGTGGAGATGGTCCCAGGGGTCATTCACCTCTGACTGTTGTTTAGTACTGATGGCTCTGTAATGCAAACTGCTTGATGCCTGCCTGTTCATTATCAGAAATAGTGATTAGGGGGAGGTATTTGTCATAAAAGGTTCCTTTTAGAAATAAAAGAGAAATGGGAAGCTGTTGCTCACGGCCTGTATCAGTGCAGAGGAAGCCTGATCCAGATGGTGTTTTGATAGGAAAGGACAGTGGAAATTGCTCTTTGGGTGCTTGTGAAGGCTTTTTCATACAGCTTCTTTTGCTTGGAGAAAGGATTCAAAAAGGAAGAAATTGTTCACAATAGGTGTGACATGCAAGTGCCTGGAAGTTGATGGGTACGTTTTCTACCCTCCCTAATGAGCACACCATGCTTAGGAGCTATGGAGGCTTGGCTGTTTTTTAACACATTATTCACAATCTCTCAAAATCCCTTTTTTGCCAGAGCGATTTATAACTTAACAAATATATCTATTTTGTTAAATAAGGGCCTGATTCATCATTTCTAAATATACTTCCCCAAGGAATATATTCTCTATGCTTTTTTTTTATAGTGCCTGTAAGTTAAATCATGTGTCCATGAAAAATATTTTTAATATGGGCCTTTTTAATTTTATTTTTTTCCCTGCATTGACACCCATAAAAAGATAGAATTATTTTGTTAAGTAGATAGGCTTGGTCTTCAAGAAAGGTCTGCAACATCTATTACATAAATCAGATAAGTTGGATCTTCTACAAGTAGGCGCCATTAAAAAGCTGTAAAAAATGTTCTTATTGCTTAACAGATTTTATTGGACTGCTTTACTTAAGATTCATGTTTGGTGTTTTTAATTACTATAAAAGCCCTTCGAGTTTCTTGGTATACTAAATGTTTTACAAATATTTTACAGGCCCCTGAATGGATGGAAGAGGACCTTAGCCAACTGACAAGAAGTATGGTTAAGTTCCCAGGGGGGACGCCTGGTCGATGGGAAAAGATTGCTCACGAATTGGGTCGATCAGTGGCAGATGTGAGTTCACTCAAATTTGCATTGTATGAACAAACCAGCACAAGACAAGCAGGATAGAGGGCAGATCTTGGTAGAGTTGGACATTGTCTTTGGATGGAGGATACTACCTTTTTAAGACCTGGAAATGAACCATTAGGTAACTGGGCAAGAAACAGATGTCAGCTGGTCTCCCCACTCTACAATTAACAGCTGTAACTGATCAGCTATATGGAGATCCTAGTGCTTAGAGACTTAAGCTACTGTAACCTGATAACCAAAAAAACAATGCTGGTTTTAGTCTTTGTGCTAAATTCTCATTGCTGGAAGAGAACATTTGTCGGACTTAAATAAAGATTATATTTCTGCGTAGACCTTAAAAGAAATGAAAAAGCAGCAGAGAGGGAAAAAAAGAAACCTCATTAGCTAATAGTATTTAGACAGGTGGCAGACATTAATTAGAACTTGAGGTGCTTGCCATAGACTGAGGTCTGTATATATGGTGATGTAAAAATGACTAATTTGCCAGATTATGAAGATAAAAGAGTGCTTATTTTAATATGGACTTTTTAAAAAGTTTGTGTTCCTAAGAAAAGGAATAGGATTATATTTGGATGCTTTGAATCCAAACTGATAAGGGAAGTGAATGAGGGTGCTTGTCAGTGGCTGTTTGGCACTTGCTAGCATATGGCGTTTCTGATTATTAATCAACAATTGAAATACTGCACTAGGAAAATGCAAGGAAAGAAGCTCTGTTTACTTCAGTGTAACTTGGTTCCACCTGAGCTGCTTCTGTTTCTCATTTCCAAGTGCTAGGCAGAACCACAGAAGAATGACTGTCAAACGTGAGAAATCAGGAAATCCAGGAAATTCAAATGAATATAAAGATTTATTGCAAGCTTAAGCTTGCTTCAAGAATCTGAACTACTAACAGTCAAAGCAAATTGGTGGTAGATAAGAGTCAGTGGAATTCAAGGTGGGCTGGACATAACCATATTTTTTGGAATATAAGACACACTTCCCCCTCCCTTAAAAAAGGGTAAAAATTTGGGTGCGTCTTATACAGCGAATGTAGCCCCACCCACCCACCGGCCCCCACCCTTTGGCCTCTGCCTCCCAGCAATTTACCTCCTTGTAGCAAACAGCAAATAGCCCATTTCAGCTCCAGCACAGCCAGCAATTTACCTCCTTGCAGCAAACAGCTTGTTTCAGCTTCAGCACAGTCTGATTAGCACAAGCAGTTGATTGTCGGTTGGATCGACCTCCCAACCCTCGACTGTTTCAGGCTGTAGGGATTGCCATTGCCTGTTGTCGCACAGGCTTCCACTGTTTGCTGCAAGGAGGCAAATTGCTCAGAGGCAGATTTTTTTTTTTCCTTGTGCTACTCAGGCTGTGCTGAAAACGAAAATGAAACTAAAGTAGGCTGTTGTTTGCTGCAAGGAGGCAAATTGCTAGGAGGCAGAGGCAGATTTTTTTTTCTTGTTTTGCTCCCCCAAAAAGGTAGGTGCATTTTATAGTCTGGAGCATCTTATACTCCGAAAAATATGGTAGATCTTTTGTGGGAACAAAGGGACTCGACACTGATAATGCATTTGAACCCCTCCTCAGGCTCAGCCTGGTCATCTGCAGACTGTTTTCCAACAGATACACACATCTTTCCTGACAGGCTAGTTTTCTATTTTTTATTTTTATTTTTATTTTTATTTTATTTTTATTACGTTGTTTACTCCATATGGAAGCTAGACCTGCAAAAATGAAAAAAAGATTTTTGTAGAAGAGAAGCAGTAATAACTAAATCAGATCTCTGATTTGTGCCCATGGTAGAGTTAGCTAAATACCACAACCACTAGCCACATGTTCTCCCTATCCCAGCATGCACTTACTTTCCTTAGTCTTACCTGTGCCTTTAGCCCAAACTAATGTCTCCTTGTGGCATTCTGTACAAAGTGTCTCTCAGGCACTCTTTTTTCCAATAGTTCTGCAGCTGCTAGCCCTGGTTGGTCAGCCAACAGCCCTGTAGCCCATTTTTCATCAGATATCCAGGAGTTACAACATCTAGTGCAGACCTTGTTAACCAGGGTGACATCCGAGCTGGTATGGCTTACTTAAATGTATGCCTCACCATATTTTTTATGGGAGAGACAATCTTTATCTGACTCCTCTGATGAGATTTTTCTGGCATTAAATGCCTTTTGAAGTCAATCCATGCTACATTCTCATCCTCCTCAGGACATACAAGCCCCACAACCACATCAAAGTAATGCCCCACTGGGGAATTATTATTATTATTTTTATTTAAGATTTACTCTTCAATTTGATTCACAGTCTGGGACTGGTAAAAACGTAACACTTTTAAGTGCTAACCAAGGATCTAAGCTGTTAAGGCAACATCTAAGTATATAGGCATTTCTGAGTAAGGTGTTGTTGTTATTGTTATTCATTGCACAATCAGCAAGATGTTCAGATTGGGTTTGGCATTTTTGTCTACCTATCGAGTCCTTATCAAGGACCTGGGACAGGCAGATCTGGGTATTTGATAGTATTATCGTCACAGCTGTTCTCAGTAAAGCTGCCTTTTGCAATTGACTGATAGCAAATTTGTCAATGCTAATGGTATTCAAATGGTGCTACAGTTGTTTTGAATTACACCCAAGGCACCTATTACAATTGGTACTACTTTTGCTTGCTTTTTCGTTCTATTTCTATTTGTAGAACCTTATTCTGATGTTTTGTTTGTTTTTTTCTTTTTTTGCTGTTCTAAATGCACAGTTATTCTTTGTTTCAGTTCTTTTACTTCTTTAGTTAGAGGGCTTTGTTCTTCCTGAGGCAGAGGAGAGGGTGCCTGGTTTCCAAATGAAAACAGTTGAATATATCATGTTAGCTTTGTATATTGGCTATGCAAAGGCTTCTTTTTCCAGTTAGGAATTCAATGCTCAATTATTTCCTTTCAATATTCTGCTTTCAATCTTGTTTTCAAGAGGTTTCCCTTGTTCATCTCCTTCAGCAGAGGCTCTTTTGCTTTCTTTGTGTAGTCATTTAAGCCATGTTTTCCCTGATCGATTAGTATCATTTTTTGAGTACAGCGTATGGTGCATTGCCACTAGTTTTCTTGTCTTTCGATCTAAATTACCAACTTCTAACTGAGTCCAATCAATTATTCCAGTTGAGTATCATATTACAGGCACTGCTCAGATGTTAATTGCGTTTATATATTTCTTCCATTCAGCTTTGATCTCAAGATTTTCAGTTCTTGTTTTATTCTTGTTGTATTTTTTGCACTATAAGACGCTCCACTATCAAAAGTATAAATAACAAAGATGACAATGAGTCACTTTGGAAGATTCCTCGTTTGATTTCAACTACCAAGTTCTTCTCTACACGCCATCAACTTCGTTTGCCATAGCTTCAGGGAATTTCTGGATGTTGCTGCTAATTCCAAAAATGTCTAAGCATTTCTCAGTCCAGCTGTGTGGAACAGAATCAAATGCTTTCTTATATTCAATCCAGGTCATGAACAAATTTGTTCGTCTTTTCTTTCAATTCTTCAAAACCAGTTTATCAATCATCAATTGGTCTTTGGCTCCTCTTGAATTTTTGCTGTCTTTTGCTGCTTTCTGTTCTGTTCTGTTCTACAAGCAGCAAATCCTTATTTTCCAAATATTTATAAATTTGGTTTGCAATAATGTATTGTATGTTGTTGGCAGGCAAGTTATTGGCCTGTAATTTTCAGGTTTATTTCTCTTTTCTGCATCCTTCTGAATCAAAAAAGTTCTTCCGGTTGTTAGCCATTTTTCACTTTTCTGGTGTTTCCAGAACCTGAATCATCTGGTTTGCTAACCTTGCATTCAAACTTGTTAGTGATTTCCACCAGAATCCATGCAGCTCATCCAAACCAGGGCCATTCCAGTGTTTTATCTTCTTTGCTTGTTTTTGCACCATTTCTGTCATTATGTAAACATTTTCCATTCTTGTCACTTTTGCAGTGCTTTCATTGTTATGCAAGATTTAATCTTCAATTTGATTCACATCTGGAACTGATTAAAACTTAACAGTTCAAGTCCTGACCAAGAACCTAAGAGCTGTTGAAGTAATGTCTGAGTATATAGGCAGTTCTGAGGAAGGTGTTTTTTTGCAAAGTCAGAATATTGAAGTCTGATAAGTTCAAAATTTCCATGTATTTGGTCAACCCTTTGGGTATTGCTCCAAGGGCTCCTATTATTGGTATAACCATTGAAGTTTTCCTCTACAATCACTCAACTTCAGTTTGCAGATGGTGACATTTCATTATTTTTTCTAGTTGTTTCTCTTCAGTTTGTGCATCACCTGTTGTTCATACTGCTGCTGCTGTTATTCATTGCACAGTCAACGAGATGTTTAGACTTGTTTGGCATTTTTTTCTACCTATTGAGTCCTTACTAAGGACCTTGAATAGGCAGATGTGGATGCTTGATGGCATTATCGTTGCAGGATGGAAGCTGTTCCCAGTAAAGCAGGTCAGGAAAGCTTTGCGAGTTGACAGCTGCTTTTTGCAATTGACTGAAAGTGAATTTATCAAGGCCAATGGTGTTCAGGTGGTGCTCCAGTTGTTTTGAATTGCACCCCAGGTACCTATTATTATTGGTACTACCTTTGTTTGCTTTTGCCCCAGTTGTTTTATTTCTATTTATAGGTCTTTGCATTTTGTTATTGTCTCCAGTTTTTTCTCTTCTCTTCTGTTGTCTCCAGGTACTGCCACATCCACTATCCAGATTTTTTTGTCTTTCTTATTCATAATTGTTAAGTTTGGAATATTATGTAGCAGGTACCTGTCTGTTTGAATTCTAAAGTCCCAGAACAATTTAACTTTCTAATTTTCTATGACTTTCTCTATATTATGGTCTCACCAACTCTTGCTTGCAGGCAAATAATACTTCTTGCAGATCTTCCAATGCACCATTGTTGCTACTTTGTCATTCTGTTGCTTGTAGTCAGTCTGTGCGATCTTCTTGTGGCAGCTTACCAGGGGGTCCACTATTTCTTCAGCT